GCCAAGTTATTTCAGATTCCTTTTGATAAATGACAAAAGTTTATGGACCGGACACGAAAGAGTGACGGACAGACAGACGGACGGACAGACGGACGGAACCTATTTCTATATCCCCCTTTTTTCTTCGAAAAGGCGGGGGACAATAAAAGTCAGCTGTAAATGAAATGTCTTTATAATTTGTTTTCCATAAGAAGTGGTATCTAATACAAGACTTGGGGTGCTCCTTTTTGAAGAAGCGGGATTATTGTTGGTTGGTCCGTCTGTCTATATGTGGCATCTCAAGACAAATCTATAAAGATAAAAGTTTAGTGACAAAAGTGGTAATCTACTAGTCTAATAGTTGAGGTGCTGTTGCTTCTATACCAAGACTTTGAGCCGCGTCACGACAAAACCAACATAATGGGTCTGCGACCAGCATGGATCCAGACCAGCCTGCGCATCCGCGCAGTCTGATCAGGATCCATGCTGTTCGCTATCAGTTTCTTTACTTGTTATAGGGTTTGTAAGCGAACAGCATGGATCCTGATCAGACTGCGCGGATGCGCAGGCTGGTCTGGATCCATGCTGATCGCAAACTAATTATGTTGGTTTTGTCGTGACACGGCTCATAGTTTCAAGACCAGTTTATGTCTCAACAATGTTTTGTCATAAGGAATCAGTACTTGTGTAGCAAATATAATTGAGAGATGGTAAAAACCTGAGTTTTTAATTTGATATATTTGAAACAGTTATTTCATTACGTATTTGGCTATCTTTACTTGTATATGTAATATAAATACATACGAGTGGCATGTTTTATTACGATTCGTGTTTCTTCAGCATTAGAGAGCAACAATTCTACAGGTAAGAAAAATAGAAATAGAAAGGCTCTCTTGGTTGAAACAGTTTATATAAGTCACATAATAATAATTGAGTGTTTGTCAAATGAATAGACCTAATGCTCAAACCAAGCTTTAAACAAAGTCATGACACGATTTAAATTATTCTACATACGGTATAAAATTATGTGGCAGTGTAACAGATCTAAATCAGTCATAAACACACGGAACTCGAAAACTCGATACTATTATTTTGCATCACTCGTTTTAAATTGCAAGGTAACTGTCACACACTATATTTATCTAAATGTGACAGATAGTCAGCTCTAAACATTCAATGGATAGAGATAACGTTCTTATTGAGCTGAAGTAATAATATAAAACAACTATTTTCTATTTTTATTCGTATTAAAAGTTAAAAATGAAATTACTCTCACATCTAAATTGTTCTTGTAATAAATAATAATGTTAACGTCATGTTGCTATAAAATTCTTTTCTCTCATAGGGAACATAATGTCTTTGCAGCAAGAATCGGAAGAAATTGTCCATAAAAAGCAAAAACAAAAGTTCAAAGTCTCTTCATTTGCGCAAAGTGTAATACATCGTTATTGCCGTTTTGTATTTCGAAAGGGAGCAAACATCTGAATGGTTTCTATGTTATATTGATTGTCTTCCGTTAACATAAATATAAATTAATACAACGTAAACAATATTAAAGTCTTCTAAATACGTTTCTATATGTTATTTTCATGCAGTAATGAAAACTAATCAATAAATATATAAAATAAAAACAAATATGAAGATAAATGATATGAAAAGTAAAAAAGTAATTATTCCTTCGCCACATTTCATTAAGATGTTTTGTAAAGCGTTGATAAGTAACATTAATCTTTGTAATGCCATTTCTCATCTGAATGTTCTTCTGTATTTTTCCAAATATTATCAGAGACAGTTAATTTTCAAATCAAAGGTCTACATTTCTATTCTTTATACATATGTAGATTACTTATGATGGTGTGACAAAATAGCTTTGTATAGCAATTTATATTAGCTTGTTATATGGTAGTTTGATATGATCCCCACACCGCTGTGGGTTTGAATCCCGACAGGGACTTTGGATTCTTTCATGTGAGGAAGCTATCCAGCTAGATTACGGAACGTCGGTGGTTCTACTCAGGTGCAAATTCGTGCCTGATATAATGCACGGAAGGGCACCTGAGGTCTTCCTCCAGCAGTAAAGCTGGAACGTCGCGATATAACCTATACTGTGTCGATGTGACGTAAAACCCAAAACAAACAAATAGTTTGATATGATAGATTTATAAGATGGTTTGACATGATAGCGTTATATATATCGTAGTATATGATGTTATTATAATTCAGCATTGTTATATTTTTCTGGTCCTTCGGGATCATTTTGTCCAGCACTATTAAGTCTTGAGAATTGAGTAACTCTCAAGCCGGTGCTAGAGGGCGTGAGGGATGTTACACTTTTTCATTATCCCTCATGTACAGACTCAATCAATCCGAGTCAATTTTGCTGTTTTTATTGCTTTCGAGAGATCACTGTTTTCCAGATATTTTAAATATATTTGGTAGTGTTGTATGATAGTGTAATATTACGGTGTGATATCATAGTGTAACATGGTAGTGCAATGTGTACACCCAGGTGTGATAAAGTTTTGGGGCCGTCTTGCATTAAATGTAGAAAAATATGTTCACGTAACTATTCAATACATAAATACATGTAAGGTTACATGAATTATCTAAAAATAAATATTCAAAAAATGAAAATTATAGTGCAAATGTATCGGGACGACATCCGAAAAAGCCTTCCCAGAATGTCAAGTTCTATATTCTATATAATTTTTGTACTTTTCATGCAACTGATTACTTAAATTGAACAAAACTAACTGAATGTTTAAAGATGAAAATTGAACATGAAAAATAAGAACACTTATTTGAGAAAATTATGTAATTCTGTCATTGGTTAAAAATAAAGATATTGTCGAAATATCAAAATAAAAATTTCACATAGGAAGAAAGCAGTCCTAGAGAAGAATGAAAAGCTGAAAAACAGTACCCTTACCAAAAAAAAAGGCTCTCTGGTGAACATTGCGGCAAGTTTGCCGCAAACATTGCGGTGAGTTTGCGGTAAACTGCTTTCAGCAATTATTTACCATGCAAATGAGGTTTGCGGCAAATTTGCCGCAACTAATGAGGTTAGCGGCAAATATGCCGCAAACTATAGGGGGCAGTAGCTTCTGTTTGCGGCAAATTTACTGCAAACCTCATTTGCATGGTAAAAGTTTGCAGATGTTCGCCCAAAGTTTGCGGCAAATTTGCAGCAAACTTCATTTGCATAGTAAGTTTGCGGAGGTTCGCCAGAAGCTTTTGGTAACACTGCGGCAAACTTCATTTGCATATTTGCCAGTTTCAGCAAATATGTTCTGGCGATATTTTGGCGAACATTTTGGTAAAGTTCTGGCGAACAATTTTTTTCAAACATTGGAATAATTAAAACTAGCTGAATTATAAGAAAACAAATACATATTGGTTTAACACATTTTTTCAATAGAAAATAAAAGAAATATTACAAACATATCAGTAGAATAAAATGAAATTTGATAAATTTGTAAAATAAAGAAATTAATTCCCCAGTTAAAAAAAGAGATAAATTTTACACACATTTTATTAGCAACTGATTCTATACATATTTGACTTTCATAAATTTCCACTCTTTAGTTATGATGCTATCATGAATTGTTCATATTACTTAATAATCAATTAAAACAAGAGCCTATTGAACCAGGGTGATCCTCCCCCGACTAGGATTTGGACACAGAAAAGTATATCTTTTGAAGTTTCAGGGTTATGTCCCAGACAAAGTTCAAAGTCTGATAATTCCAAAATAGTTGTAAAATCACACTTCAAATAACGACGCTATGGGCCAGACACATTTTTGCTTCAAGGTCATGCTGTGACCTTGACCTTCAAGGTAATGACCCAAATGTTGCGTGTGACATATCATCTCAATATGGTGATCATTTCGGTGAAATAGTTGTAAAATCCGACTTCAAATAACGAATTTATGGGCTGGACACCATTTTGCTTCAATTTCATGTTGCGACCTTGACCTTCAAGGTATTGACCCAAATGGTGTGTGCAACACATCGTCTCAATATGCTGATCATTTCTGTGAAATAGTTGTAAAATCCGACATCAAATAACCAAGATATTGGCCGGACACAATTTTTGTTCAAGGTCATGGTGTGACCTTGAACTTCAAGGTAGCGATCCAAATGTTGCGGGCGACACGTCGTCTCAATATGGTGATCATTTCTGTGAAATAGTTTTAAAATCCAACTTGAAATAACAAAGTTATGGGCTGGACACGAATTCGGGTTCGTATGTACGTACAGACAGACGGACAGACAACCCTATGACTATATGCTCCCCCGAAATTTTTCGGGAGCATAAAAACAATGTTTGACAATAGCTATTATTCAGCACATGTTGCAGTATTTCTTAGCACCAAAAATGGGAAATATAATATTGTTGTAAAAGCTAAAAATCAGAAAAGTTACAGTTTGAAATCTTCTATCTGGACAAAAAGTTTCATTCAAACATGAACTGGCATGGAATAACATACATACTTCGACATCCACTTAGACAAATCACTATTAATAACAATAAATACTAACAATAGCGTTATGTGTTATGCAAAAACAAACTAGACCAATAATGGCTTTCAAAATTGTAAAAATGAATCTCAAAAATATATTTTGGTCTTATACAAACAACATATTTCATGGACATAATACCTTCAGATTTAAACTCATGCCATATAACATTATGATTGTGAGCAAAACAATATCTGACACAAACAATTATGGCTTTCAAAATTGTTAAAATTAATCACAACAATATATTTGGGTCTTATACAAACAACTAATTTCATAGACATAATTTTTTTGTTTGTTTGTTTTGGGTTTTTACGTCACATCGACACAGTATAGGTCATATCGTGACGTTCAGGTGCCCTTCCTTGCATTATTTCAGGCACGAACGGGTATCTGAGTAGAACCACCGACGTTCAGTTAAGCTAGCTGGATAGCTTCCTCACATGAAAGAATCCAAAGTCCCTGTCGGGATTCCAACCCACAGCGGTGAGGGGCAAGTGGTTTGAAGTCAATGACCTTAATCACTCGGCCACGGACGCCCCTCATAGACATAATAACTAAAGATTTAAACTAAATGTCTTTAGTCATGTCATATAACGATTGCAAGCAAAACAAAAACAGACTAGAGCAATAATGGCTTTTAAAATTGTAACAAGAGCGATCAGTAATCACATGTGTCGCCTCATGATGGCCAATTTCATGTTGGGACAAATTTTGTGACAGACAGACAGACATACGGACAGTGCACAACTAGACTTGGTACTGATCATTCCTGTAAAGTTTGGATAAAATTGCACCAGTAGTTTATGAGGAGTAGACCGGACAAGCTTTTGCGTATCTGGCAACACACAGAAAAAAACACCTTTTTATCAAAGGGCCATAACTCGGCCAAAAATCATTCAACCGGAAAACTCGTGCAATATGCGCAAGGACTTGAGCTACAGATCAATCCTGTAAAGTTTCATTGAAATTGCATGAGTGGTATAAGAGAAGTAGTCCGGACAAAACTTTAAAAATAAAAATTATTAAAGGGCCATAACTCTGACAAAAATCATTGAACCGGAAAATGCTGACAATATGCACAACTAGACTTGGTACTGATCATTCCTGTAAAGTTTGGATGAAATTGCACCAGTAGTTTATGAGGAGTAGTCCGGACAAGCTTTTGTGTATCTGGCAACACACAGAAAAAGAAACCTTTTTATCAAAGGGCCATAACTAGGCCAAAAATCATTCAACCGGAAAACCCGTGCAATATGCGCAAGGACTTGAGCTACAGATCAATCCTGTAAAGTTTCATTGAAATTGCATTAGTGGTATAAGAGAAGTAGTCCGGACAAACTTTAAAATTAAAAATTATTAAAGGGCCATAACTCTGACAAAAATCATTGAACCGGAAAATGCTGACAATATGCACAACTAGACTTGGTACTGATTATTCCTGTAAAGTTTGGATGAAATTGCACCAGTAGTTTATGAGGAGTAGTCCGGACAAGTTTTGTGACGGACGGACGGACAGACAGACAGACAGACAGACGGACAGACAGACGACGGAGAAGTGATCCCTATATGTCGCCACTACTCTGTAGAGGCGACACAAAAATGAATCTTAACAATATTTTTGGGTCTTATACAAATATAGACATAATTATTAAAGATTAAAACTAAATGTCTTTAGTCATGTCATATAACGATTGCAAGCAAAACAAAAACTGACTAGAACAATAATGGCTTTCAAATGTGTAAAAATGAATCTTAACAATATATTTGGGTCTTATACAAACATAAACATAATAACTAAAGAATAAAACTAAATGTCTTTAGTCATGTCATATAACAATTGCAAGCAAAACAAAAACTGACTAGACAATATTGTAAGTTTGCATGAAATTGGCTTGGCAATTTATGAGATGTTGTTTAAAGATCAAGTTTACGGAGGAATGATAGACAAAAGCTCGCAATGTCACTTTGTAAGCTAAAAACGCACTACTTTACTCTTGCACTCTTCCAAGTTTCAGTGCCCTGGCCATTGTGTGTATTTTGGTGTTGACTGCTTTGGTGACTAAGCTACTCTCCATATTTAGTTTATTGATGCAGTACACTGAAAAAAAGAAGGTTTATTTTTCATTTACATGTTACCATGTTTATACTGAATAAAACTAGAACTATCACTGAAGGTGAATGATACCCCAAAACCCCACCTTGAAATAAAGTGGCAGTAATCTATTAGTAAAGCCCACCTACAAATGAAGAAAATAAACACCAAAGGCAATTATTATTTATTGGTCAATACACTGGTGCTGGCTTGATTTTGATCTGTTGGGATGAACATGTATTTGCATTGCAAAACCTAGATTTATTTACAAATGACAAGTGGCTCATATATTATAAGTTTATCTAACTTAGTTAAGAAATCAAGGTATTATGTTAAAAACACACCAAAATAACAAACAAGAGCGATCAGTGATCACATGTGTCGCCTCATGATGGCCAATTTCATGTTGGGACAAGTTTTGTGACAGTAGGACAGACAGACAGACAGTGCACAACTAGACTTGGTACTGATCATTCCTTTAAAGTTTGGATGAAATTGCACCAGTAGTTTTTGAGGAGTAGTCCGGACAAGTTTTGTGACGGACGGACAGACAGACAGACGACGGAGAAATGATCCCTATATGTCGCCACTACTCCGTAGAGGCGACTCAAAAATGATGCATGCTGTGAACATGACAGCCAGGTCAGAGCTCAAAGTTAAAACCAGGGTCATTCAAATAACCATTAGGATTTTTTCTAAATGCCACTGTTTGAAAGAACAATGTTGACTAACCAGTCTTACTTGTATGCAAAACTCACTTTTTCAATTATACATCAATAACAGTGGTTAAAATATACACAGATACTTTTCTGACAAATTCTAAATCATTACTGACATGATAACTGAGAAAAACTAGAAATGTGTCAATAGGACACGGATGCCCCACAAGCCACTGTTCTGTCAATCTTATGACTCTAGGTCAAATAGTTTTTGGACTACATGTGCCACAAGTTGAAAACTAAAAATCAACAAAGGGCCATAATTCTGTTAAATTTGGTTGCAGCAAAAATTCCTTTATTACCATCTACACATTAAGTTTGTTAATCCCTGGAAGTTTAAGCAAAATCTGCCATCCGGTTAAAGAGGAGTTGCGTTCACAAAATTTCTACATAGTATATAGTGAAAAAATCAACAAAGGGCCATAATTCTGTTAAATTTGGTTGCAGCAAATATTCCTTCCTTTACTACCATCTACACATTAAGGTTGTTCATCTCTGGAAGTTTAAGCAAAATCTGCCATCCGGTTTAAGAGGAGTTGCTTTCACAAAATTTCTACATAGTATATAGTAAAAAATCAACAAAGGGCCATAATTCTGTTAAATTTGGTCGCAGCGAAAATTCTTTCCTTAACTACCATCTACACATTAAGGTTGTTCATCCCTGTAAGTTTAAGCAAAATCTGCCGTCCGGTTTAAGAGGAGTTGCGTTCACAAGATTTTGGGACGAACTGACAAGTGCAACGTTATATGCTCCCACATTGTGGGGGCATAAAAATAATCTTATTTTACTTACATGTTAAACTGTCAAATCCTCTTTTGTGCCAGGCAGTATCTACTGAATTGGACATATCACTGCTGGTTTTACAGGGAAATTTCGGGAAAGTCTTAATCTGCTGTGAGGTTTTTCAAGATGTGGACCACTTCTGATTTTGTTTTCAACCTTTGACTGTCTGTGAGAACTGTAATTGTAAAAATATTTCAAAAATATTTTCTGTAATTTAAAATTCATCTTTAAACGTAATGTTGACAAATATTGAGAAACTACACCAATGAATTGACAATAACTTATTTATAATTAATGTAACACAATGTTCATACTAGAATTAGTTTTGTTAATTATTAACAGTGTTTCTGCCAGAGCGCGTTTTTGGCGCACTATTTTCAGCCATGACGCAATGAAATTTAGTTAGTGCGTATTTTGTGACGCAAGAATTTCACCGTCGCTGATTTCAACACAAGTCAGATATACAGACTATAAACCGTCAATTCAGTATAAAAATGTATGGAATGTTTACCGTGGGCTCCACTATAATTTTAATGAGAAATGAAATTTACCGGGTCCGTGGTCCGGCATTTAGCCAATTTCAACTAGTTAATAAACGCTTGCATTTATACGTTACTGCATATATTGAAAGCGCCCAGACAAAATTATTTATTTTGTTGTCGTCATATTCTGCGAACGAATAACTGTCGGCTGGAAAATGCAGTCTGCGTATATGTTAGTGTTCATCTGTGCTGTTCTACAGAAATTAGAAACTTCGAAGGGAGTGATAGCGACAGGAGAATGTTTCTAATTTCTGTAAAACAGCTAAGGATGAACACTAACATATTTAGTGTCAAGCTTAATTTCCTTTGAAAAGCAATCTATGTATCAAACAAACAAACAAACAAAAAGAAGCCGAAATAACTGGTGAACCCCTGATGTGTCTGATACATTATGGACATGTATATAACAAATTGAAATATTTATAACCAAATAGAACATTTTCTGATAACGTCCAAGACCTTGATACATTTTGGAATAAAAGTATTTTTATATATCAAAAGTTTATACTTCTCTTAATCCTTTCAAGTCGGGGAACTCTTTTCTAAAAAGAACATAGCCAAATATTTTATATTTCAACTCTGAAAACAATGAATCTTCTTCACTTTCTGAACATGAAAGATATCGACGAAGAGAGTCAACAATTTGTTCCCTAAGATCAATATCAAGGTCTAAACCTTTACCACAAAAAGCACCCCGTAAAATATGCCTTATTCCGTCCTTTCCACCGAAATGATTCACATAGCTTCGCAATGTATGATCCATAATACTAAGTCCAACAATGAGCGTCACGACATCCTCTATATTTTTGTCTGCCATGTTCTTATCTATTTGTGCTATATCTGTCTGACCGTTCGTCAGAACAACATTCACTAATTTAAACATTTGAAGGTTATCACTCCCTTCAACTTGTAGACAAACTTTAACTGTGTCCGCTATGGCTTCTATCAGCGGAGAACATGCATCTGCATTTCTGTTTTCATTGACACCTCTCTGAAAGTCTATCATGGCTTCTTCCGTCCTTTGGAGATATTCATTTCTCCCTTTGTCAGCAGACATTTCTAAAAAGCAAGAAATCTCGTCTTCTGTCAGCCAGACTTCTCGTGCACTACTTTTATTCAAATCTATATAAAAATCTAAACTTTTCATAGGACTTGATTTCACTTCCTCAAGGCATGTCAGTAAGATTTTGTAATCAGTGTCTTCAAAGTCAACAAACATATTGTTACTTTCTACAAAGTAATGACTTAGTTTTTTACTCCGAAGTGCATCTGTAAGAGAATCCAAAGCTTTTTTCAGAAGATAAGAAACTGATTCCATTTCTCCCACTTTTTCTTCATACACCCAAAACATCAAATGTTTGATGTGATAAGTTTTTAATGTCAGCTCTTTTCTAAGTTCAGCATGACGCTTTTCAATTACACCCTTTAAGAAAGCTTTCATGATCAAAAATACTTTCTTCTGCACTGGAGAAATTGACAACATCATCTCTTTCTCTGGCAAATTAAATGACAAACAAAAATCCTTTCCTGGATTTGGATTTACCGGTGACATTCTTGCTGCGACGAAAACGTTTGCGTTGAAAATTCTGTCAACCTTTCCCGCGGGCCATTTTAACTTTTCCACTCGAGTTTTCCATTTCTCCATACATCTAAGCGTACCCTTTATCTTTAGAACAGGCACAAAGTCTTTATGACTTGTCTCCGAAAAAGTTGCTCTAAATGCAGCTTTGTTGCTGTTTATATGATCGACACAATTCAAATCATTTCGATATAGGACATTCTCGTCTTCATCGTTGCTGTTTGAACAATGACTGATATCATTGTGCAGTCGTTGATATAGGATTATATCTTGCTTAAGAATCTCTCCGATTATCTGAGCAAAAAAAGCTATCCCTCCATTATCTTTTTTGCTTTCACCCTGAGGTAAAGCCAGTTTCCCTATTTCATATAGTCTTCTATAAATTTTCTTTTCATGGTCATGAATTTCTACATTCTTCAAAACCTTAGACCGAACATTTTTACTTCTTTCTGCGCCTGTGTTAGGTAATTTTTTTCTGATATCTTCTACACCTTTGTCCAACTTAAATCCTATATATTTCGTTATTTGTTATCCAACTTTTGAAGATACCGTCAGCATTGTTAAGTTTTCTCCGGCTTCGGGCAGTTTGTCCATTTTAGTAGTGACAGGTAAATAAACCGCCCTTAGTATAGTAAACAGCTCTGGTCCAACATTGCGTAAATCTTTAGTTGAAAGGTATTTACCTAGAATAATCTCACATCCATGGTTATGCAACGAATCTGCTGTTATTAACACGTAACACGGTCCTTTTTTATTTTGAACTAGGTTTTCAACAGGAATCACCAGTTTCTCAGACACGAGTAAGAAATCTGCATCGCCATCATCTTTGGAGTACGCAAGTTTGGAGAGCTCGCCTGTGCTACCAACAAGGTGCACCCTTTCTCTTCCAAACTTACTGATGAAACAATTTATCGAGTTAACATATCTTTCGTATCGTATATCATTTTTGCTTGGTTTAGCACGCTCTTCAAGGGCTGATATGCATTCTTTAATTTCTTCATCGGTGCAATACGACATTTTCAAGTTTCTGAAAAAAAATCGAGATTAAGAATGAAATATATTTGATTATTTTAGGCAATAAATAGAAGTAACTGATTCATCTCGCGCTTACAGCCCAATCAGCTTGGCCCACTATGTTTTAGTTTCCCGTAGTATTAGAATGTCATAAATTGACTTCTATTTTATACTGAGAAATCCTTTTATAATCAGTATTAATGTCATATTTTTTCGGTATGTCGAATGTTTGTCTTTTGATTAAAAAATAAACGCTTTCACTTGAAAGTCCGATACTTTAAAACAGATCAATTTTCATATACATGTATCATGATGTGAACCAAAAGAATCATGTGGAAATTGAACGTTGCAAAATTGCGTTTGTTTGTTTGTTTTTCTGTTGTTTTTAACACCGATTTTAACACTTTTTTTGTTAAATCTCGGCACAAGATCCAACAAACAGACTTTACCTTATAACTTACCATGAAATTCCAATGGCCGCAAGTGATCGACTACATATCACACATGTTTTATGAGTCAGCTGTAACTGACAATGGTCATTTGACCTTATGTCCAAGATCACTTGTCATGGAGAAATTACGCCTAGCCGAGAAACGAACAAGAGCAAAATGCTTTGTAATACATGAAGTGACTTTTAACCTGGCTTGTTTCGGTGTTTTTTTTTCTTTCAGCCGTTAAACACATTTTGTTCATATTTAAGTGGTCGGACCACTTACCAAGGTTTTCCCGGATAACTTACCTGTGAAAGTGTCCGTGTAATTATCCTTCATGATTCATTTACTCAATGTCCGATATAAGTTGCAATGCCCTCATTTCGAGATTTTTTTGGCCCATTCTCCTCATTAATTTATATACATTGTATACTATTTAAATATTACAAAAATCCCCTAACATTTGTTTCGTCCGCCTAAAGCAGGAAACCAAAGATATCTTAATGAAATTTTCTTTTTGCAAAATTGGATATGTAATAACACGTATTGTTGTTTTCATATTGACAGACATCCTCCATTATTTACAAAACGACACAAAAGCCCACTATCAAGCCCCCTCTTAGGTAACTTTGGTACTGAATTGTCACGAAGAAAATTCGCCTTGCTCCAGGATTGAACCACCAGCCCATTAATTAAGAATCCGATGCTCTTTCTATGGATTCAATTGGGCACTACGGAATAATGCTTGCAATAAAAATTATCCTTTAATTTTCAGGTTCAAGTCATTTATTTTTAATTAACATAAAATAAGTTGAAAATACAATTATATTAAAATGAATATCCATTTTTGTACCTATACAAATTCAAGCTTTCTTAATATATTATAGAAATCATTGACTTCATTTGTAGTAGATTGATATCATTCTACTACAAATGAAGTCAATGATTTCTATAATATATTAAGAAAGCTTGAATTTGTATAGGTACAAAAATGGATATTCATTTTAAATCATTTTAGTTCCGAAAATAAAGAAGTGTCCCAAACAACAAACAAACAAAATATCTTGTAAAGCCTTGCTAGACGATACAAAAATAAGGAAAAATGCACAAAACCGTAATAAAAAATAAAAGGTAAATATAGAATAAGTTCACATACCTTTTTATCAAGAAATTAAAAAGTTCTACCAACACTTTAATAATAAATTAACAGAAATAACGACACTTATAATGTTTGTACTTAAAAAAACAAAAATAGAAATTACCAGTCTGACGCCACGTGACTTATTGGAAATCCAACTACATGTATGTATATGTAAACTGCGCGTACGTAGCTTGGATTGTTTGTGCATATGCATGTTTTCCTGTATTACTTTTATATCAACCAATATCAATGAACAAGACTTAGTTTATATATACAATCACATGATTTTTATACATGTATATACACGTTTATAACAAGTTAAATACTGCTATATTGTTGTGGTTGCGGTTAATAAGAAGAAGAAAACCCATAAAAAACAACAACAAAAAAACGTGTTTTTATACTTCCAATTCTTTATACATCTTGAACATTAACGAATGTTCGTCTTAAAATAAACCTTTGTGTCTTTATCAAAACAATAACTGTAGTAAGTCATTAAATGTTATCAGATACAAATTAACAAAAGCATATGATCAAAAAATAAATAAAAACATAATACGATAATAAAAAGCGAACTCTTTTGTGTATATTTCAGGTCAGTACTTATGAAATATTTTCTTTCAAGATCTCCCGATATAATTTCATGTAGATTCATACATGTGCTATTTATATAGTATAACCCAGCAAACACATGACGTTAAAATAACGTCGGATTAATGTTAGATTTTGGTCACGACGTCGCCGACCAAAATACGACGTAAATCTGACGTTAAAATACCGATGTCTAATAGACGTTTCTTTTTGACGTCGTACTAACGTCAGGTTATGGTCGGTGTCCTGACGGTAGGTAAAAAAAATAACAAAAAATAATCCTTATTCGCTGTTGTAATCATTTAAACTTTTTTTCAAATGTTATTTGGATTACAAATGAAGTGTTGTTATATAAATACAGACCAAGATCGCGGCGCTGCAACCTAATAAAACATAAAGGTGGCGCTGTATATACGCAACTTACATGTGTTATTGTTATGAAATCTATTTATAGCTACAGATCTGTTTACAAGTTCCAATCATTTAACGTTGTAATATTATCATTTGTGGTACATTATTATGTATCAAAATGACGAGTTTTTAATAGTGCTTTAACATTTAATCATAGTGACAGAAAAGGGAAAGAAAACATAATTAACCTTTAATTCGAATCTAAAGTCACGTGGATGGAAATTCAAATTCGTAGGCGTTACGTTTTGGCTGTCGGTCAGGAATCGGGATGCATTTATAAGTGAATATTATAGGTTTTCTTGAACAAAAAGGTCAGTTCAATTTATTTAGATTTATTTCTACTTTGTATTTGATAAATAATTGCATGATTGCAAGCACTCTTAAATATAATTATCATTATTTGAACAGCTGAAGTAAAATGTCACACAAATTCGCGATAATGCTAATAATAAATCTTTTTAAAATTGACATGTTTTAACTCTGCTTGTGAAGAGTTTATAATATGCCTTTCAGTACTACCAAAGAGAATGCTTAGATTTCATATTTTTCTTAAACTGTGATGTTTTTGTCAGTTTAAATCTGAGAATTGAGAATGAATTTGTACGATTTCGAGCATTTCGGACAAGACGTTTCGGTCCCAAATAACCCAAAACGTTCCGGTCCCAAATAACGCAAGACGTTTTGGTTCCAGACATTTCGGCATTAAATCTTTAATTTAAAACTATGAAATATTTTAGACTTGCGTAAACCGTTTCTATTTCAAACGTAGAATATATACATAAGTTAGAATATAATTTTCTTTTTCAAGGTAGTTAAAGTGTTGGACATGCTCTCAAAGGTCGGAGGGACGGAAACACAAGTGAATATGTAAAAAAACATATGAAAGTAAGATTTTTTGTAAATTCTATTACATACTTTAAATCCATACTAAACTGGAGTTTTAAAAAAGCGGCTTTTTAAAATGTTCAGTATTTATGTTTACTTTTAATTTTTTGTTAAAGCTCTCTTATTAAAAGCTGGCAAAATTGTTCATTAAGTTAAGATAAAACCATGAAAACATTTTTGCTTGTTATTTTTACATGTTTAATTAAATTTCTTTTTTTTTCAGTGAAAATGATGTCACACACGCTATTTGGGCGCTACAAAGGGGTGCTGAAAGAAGGTCATATCTTAAAGCATCACACCTCAAAATTCGTGCTAATTCTCATGGATATCTAAAAGTATAACTTTGTGAAGTAACTAAAAGGCAGCAATTTATACATTACTGACAATTATCAAAGGAGGTCAAAATATGCAAAATGGCCACTAAATGTTTTAGAAATGCTGTAGAATATATAGTTAAAGTACTGAAAATCTGTCATTAATTGATTGAAACATTATTATCAGAATCTTTTAACTTTTCTTAAAATTATAATATTTTCATTGTTTTATTTGATAAGGCAAACTTTGATAGAAATGTGCATACATTGATTTGTTCTTTAATATTCGTACATGTTTTCTTAGTTTCATTTATGTCATTGTTTTTGTAATACTTTTTGTTTTGTAATTAACTTATGTTATGTTTTATTTTGTTTAATGTATGAAAATTATTTAACCTTGCAGAATTTACTAAAAATTGTATGTATGTATCAGCTTAAAATTGCACCTTTTTCTTAAATTAAAAAAGCATGAAAACACATTTTTGCTTTTAGTTTTCTGTTATACATTTCATTTGAGGGAAAGTTACTTAATAGAATGAGTTACATTAAATTAGATCAAATCAGGATAAGCCAGAAAATATTTATGACGTGGTGAAACAAAAAGGATTAGGGAATGATAAGATGAAGATCAGGAAATGATCAGATTTAGGGCAGAAAGGGTTAATATTAAGGTCGGAAAATGGTCAGATTGAGGTCGGAAAATGGTTAGAAACTGGTTAGATTTAGGTCGGAAAAT